CGGGAGAAGCGGGGCGAGCCGCCGCGAGGCAGTTGATCCAGCTGATGCCTGCATACAAAGGGGCGCACGAACTGGATACCAAGGTGGCCCGCGCGAAGGAGATCCCCTTGAATTCAGACACGGAACTGCGAAACCAGATCACGCCGCGCCCACCCAGTTTCCTTCGCTCTCGCGTCTGGAATAAACCGCCCGAACAAGCCACCAAGCTCTGGTTGCCAGCCACAGGGCGCGCTGAACCTTCATTCGCATATGGGAATATAGCTTGAACCTGGGTTGTTTTGCGGCGGGCCTCAGCGCCTTGCGCGCACCCAGCCGATCGGCTAAGCCTATGGTTTACTGTGCGGACCCAGGAAATGCGTTGATCATCCGGGTTATGCACGTTGTGTGAACACAGCTAGTCATCCTCCCCCCCCCCCAATTATGCCGGGACTCAGCGATCTCTTTGCACCCGCGAGTATTCGCATTTTTACGGATGCGCGCAGGAGAGCCAAATCCGCTGCACAGGTCGGAAGCCGCCTTCCAAAAACAGAAAGAAGACCGGTCTGCAACATTTGTCCTTCGGGATTAATCCGAATGGCAGTTCTAACGTTCACAAGGCAGCATCGCAGCCCAGGTTAAAGTCTCGAACTAAGCGTTTTTCCGGGATGTTTTACGACCTCCCAGTCCGGTCTACCACTCCGGGATTTCTACGTGGCCCTCCATCCAAGCACTAATGAGACCTGACCCTGCTTTGCCTCCAAAGCCAGCGCTCCCTCAGGGTCTCTTGCGGTCACTTCTCACCTTCCGCTTTCTAACCCGCTTAACAGCCACAAGTGACCACAACTGAAGGAGTCGACGTTGGTCCTCTACAACCCGGGTTCACTTGAAACCCAGTCGAGATAGCTAATCCCAGCTGAACGGGCCCAGAATCGGTCCATTTCATGTATTTCTTTGTTGCTGTTGAAGCCAGAAACAAACGAACTCAACCCCGTTAAGCAACGGGACCTCGCCTGGGTTCACACATGGCTCCACGCCCCTCTGAATAAAGCCCATTGGTTGGGTTAAGACACCCCGCCAAGCCCATGCGTTTAGCGAGCGTCGTGTGAATACGCTCCAGAATCACAGTATTGGCATGAAGTGTTTCGGGTCTTCAGAATGTTTGGGATGTTAAACACGGGAAGGGAAGAAACGCAGACTGCTGAAATCTTGGGAGTCTGCTATGGGTCCTCGTCGAAGCAGTAAAGAAAAGAAAAGAAAAGGGTCCGCGGCCTCCCAGTTTTAAGGCTTCCATCCTAGCTCAACTGCTTGAGCTGGCTGGACTCATAGGACACGTCTAAACCCGCCTTTTAAAAAGACACATTTCTGTGCTCATAATCAACGCCTTGACAGATTGGCTTTAGCGACATCACACGCTGATCCAAAGGCCGGGTTCTCTCAACGCGTTCAGCTCGCTCCAAGTCAGTCTAGTCTAGCGGGTTGTGTGAACTCACCCCTGCTGCTTCTACTGAAAATAATTGCACTCGCTTATGAACCGGGGGGGGGGGGGGCCTTACGGCCGAGGAGCTGCTTCTCCCCTTTCTCACCGAAGCGCGTCCTATCACCCCTTTGCCCCAGAACGCGTGAACAAGTCCCAGCATGGAAGTCAACGGGGTCGCCTCCGAAGGAACGCCTGGTGAAGCCTCAGGTTGTTTAGGATCGCAGCCTGCCCGCCCACGACACGACCCCCATCCTTGCTCATGTTGACTCAGCAGAAATCGAATTGACTTCGGCCGCGGTTCCTGCTCTCTCCCCATCTTCCCCTTTTAATGGGGAAAACGTGCTTATTTTCCGTTTCTAAGCCCGCCATGTTGAAATAAGCTCTTTAAATACCTATGCGGCGTATTTCCACGCACGGCATGGCATTAATGAAAAGGATGGATTATTCTCCGGGAGTCATTTCTATATATCTGAAAGTTTGGGGGGAAGGCGCGCTTGTGCACGTGTATGTGCCGCGCTCACACAACACGTTTCGCCTGCTTACAGAATTGACCGTTTTCTGGGTTCACACACACTCAAGAGCTCACGAAACCAGCGGGGGTGGGTGCGAAGCTAAGCCCCCCAAATGTTAACCAGAGTTAAAAACTAACCAGGATCAGCGCATCGTGCGAACGCAGTCCAGGGTCTTTAATTTCGCTGGTTAAGCACGTCGTGGGACGAGTCATTCTAGCCATTCTCCCAAAGACACGTCGTCTTCCTAAATTGACTTTCCTCAAGGAAAGGGGGAAAAAGGAAAACCAGACCAACCCCCCGTTGCTCTGCTGCGTTCCTGACGCCATCCCTGGGACTGGAATCCAACATGCCTGGAAAGGCAACGGGTCTGGGAGAAAATCTGCTTTCGCTCCTACCCGTCAACTCGGAAAAGAGGCCAGCAAAGCGCATCTTCAAACGCACACTGGCAAAGTGGGAGGCTGGGGGGGGGGGGCGTCCAAAGCCCAGAGATGCGCACCATGGAAGAAGCGATCCTATACTGTCTTCCTTGGAAGTCAGCTCCGGTTAGGCGAGGCTGCAGAGTTCCCCCCTCCCTCCCGAGAACTCGGCACGAGCCAGACCGGGCTAGAAAAATCCGCGCGCTGTGCCCGCAGTCTCCAGAGTTAGGCGTGGACTTGGGCGCGCCCAACTCTGGATCGGATCTAGCCCAGGGCTGCCACCTCCTACCTGGAGGGTGCGGGTCCCCCGAGAGCCCCGGCGGCCATCCGGAGCAGGGAGCCTGCGGAGGAGCCCAGCGGCGCCCGCACTTTCTCCTGCGGAAGCGGCGCCGGCCAGCTGGCGGGCTGCAAGTCCAGCGAGGCGGCTTCAGCCCCGCTTTCCCGGGGAAACCGCTGCGCAGAGCCCGCGGGGGGACATCCTCTGGAAGGCAGGCGGACCCCAGAGCCCCACTTGGCCAAAACTTGAGGCTGCGAAGGCTGGAGAGACGCGCCGGATTCCCCCTCCCTTCCCGCAACTTGGCTATTAATAAACCTGCCAAAAAGGGATCAGGGAAATTGGGTGGAAAACGGAGAAAAAAGCCCAGCCCCGCGGTCCACGCATCTCTCTCCGCGAGAGACCTCGCGTCCTCCGGGGAATCTGGCTCGGCTTCGGGCAAGCGGAGGCGCCGAGCGCCCGGGCTTACCTGCGTGAAGTTTCGGTCCCCTTCTTGCCCTCCCGCGGGGACCAAATGGCACAGCCGCCGTGCGCTCGGCTCCTGTCTCCTTCCACTTCTACACCCTCATTCCAATATGGCATCCGCGCACTGCGCATGTGTGCCTCGCTCGGCTCGGGTCTGGTGTATGCGGGTGTGTGGGTGTGTGTGTGTGTGTGCGCGCGTGCCTCCCTTCCCAGCCGTTGCCAAAACGGGCGTGCGGGTTTTGCACGGAAGTTAGCCCCCCGGCGGGGCAAGGATTCGGCTTTGCACGTGCCCGCCTAGGAAGAAAGCGCCGCTTCCTTAAAGCCGTTGCGCCCTTGCCCAGGACGCCCGCGGAGTCCTGGCGAGGGGCTCGCTGGAGGTGGCGCGCGCGCGCGCGGGTGTGTGAAGGGTGCCGTGGCGCAACCTTTGAGGAGGCGAAGAAGTCCAGCTCGGAGTGGGTTCGGGTAGCGCTTCGCTCGCAACGTGGTCTTTTTCCAACTTTCTCCATCTGATCCAGATGTGCGGGACTACCGCTCCCATCATCCACAGCCCATATGGACAGCTTATACATCCTACAGAAGTGGAGACAAACTTTGGATGCTACAGCCCTGTTACTTCCCCGCAACTTAAGGGAAATTGTTCTTTGTACATGTTCAATCCGTGGGGAGAGTAAAATATGGCTAGGTGCCATCCTCTTAAAACTTGGCTTATGGGTGTTTATTAAGAAATGAAACCCAGAGTGTGGGTTGCATGACATGTTAAGCTCTCAGCCGCATTTTCCCAACTCTGAACCATGGTTAAGGAAGCCATAGTTTGCTGAATGACCCCAACTGCCTGCATTCACGCAAGATGCAAAATAGCAAGCTACCTACTGTGTTTTAGCCAAGCTAGTATTGTGAACCCATCAATGTGGCTAGTTTGGGGTTAACATGTCAACTCGGTTGTGGTTTATTTAACCAGCCTTATTTAAACTAAATCAGTGGAATTCACACACACCCTCCCCCAAGTTATTTCCCTCAAATAACTAAAAAAACCTGTTAAGAAGATAAAGAATTTGTACATCAACCGTGTTTGGTCCAAGGACCCTTCTGTATTACCCCATCATACGAAGCTATTGCTGTGCTTAATGATCTTTGTCAAGGTCATGGGAACGCAGGCACCATGCTAAGGCATAAACCTGGTTTTTCAATCTAGCATCCCACAAAAGGTTAAGCCAAAACAATGTTCTGCTTTAGCATGTACTACGAGCCACTCCGTATAGGGTTTGCACATTATTTACCGCTTCTGTTCCTATTCATTTTCCTTTAGGTACTGCTGTTTACCTTGTAGATCATTACTGTAAATTATAATTTTCCTTAAGTGCTTTGCCAAATGGGCAGAAGGTATGGAGATGCCGTCAGTCAGAAGACAAACAAGTCATAAAGCCAGTTGCATCATTCCAGCGTGAGTAAGAACTAGGACTCCAAGGTGAGAGATAGGACAGAGCTGAAGGGGCTGGGTGGCCAGAGGGGACAATTGCTCTGGTGCAGCTGATAATTCACGAATGCCTAGATGAGTGTTTTTCAGACTTGGCCACTTTAAGATGGGTGGACTTCAGCTCCCAGAATTGCCCAGCTGGCATGCTGGCTGGGGAATTCTGGGAGTTGAGGTTCATCCATCTTAAAGTGGCCACCTTTGAAAAACAGTGGCCTAGCACCGAGTGAACTGCATCCTACCAGGAGGAGAGTCAAAGGCCATGTGCCCTGTGCCCGTGTGCCCGGGAAGAAGGAAGGGACCTGAGATTAACAGTCTCTTAGACAAAAAGCAGGCAGAGTGATAGATCTGAGATTCCCAGAGGACACAGGGGAAACCCAGAACTCAGTAACTACAGCTGTAGAAGACCACAGAGATGACCTTGGAGGACATGCACAACCACCATTAGCAAAATATGAGCTGTCAGGTTTTCACGATTCTGTTAATGTAGCCTTTATCAATAGTTTCTAGTGTTTCTTATGGTGTCTGTTTCCTGACCTGGCCCACCTCAAAGGGCTGACATCAACCTTGAAGTGTGGAGTCCTTGGTGCTCACTGAGCTTGGTTGTTGGCTTGCAGATGTTTCATGACCCACCCAGGTAACATCGTCAATGTGAGTGAGTGTGGGGTTTTCTCCCTGTTTATATACAGTAGCTTATATACAGTAGAGTCATCTATTGTGATGGAATGGACTTATTAAGGCCAGGCTCAGGGAGATAAGCGTGTTCTTAGCCCCCAACAAGAGCATGGGAGGTTCAAGAAGATGAGGCTGGCACCTCCCTAAGGAATTCATGGTGTTGTGGCTGGCTGGCTGGCTTGGGAACTAGGATTCAGCCTGGGGAGATTTCTGTCTGGAGGTTGAAGCTAATAAACGGAACAGAGCTGTATTTGCATTGTCTCTTGGAGTTCTTTGGGCTGAACCTGACATCAATCCCCCCAGACTAAGCCTAGTTCCAAAGCCAGCCGGCCAGCCACAACACCATGAATTCCTTAGGGAGGTGCCAGCCTCATCTTCTTGAACTTCCCACGCTCCTGTTGGGGGCTAAGAACACGCTTATCTCCCTGAGCCTGGCCTTAATAAGTCCATTCCATCACAATAGATGACTCTACTGTATTAAATGTAGAGTCTAACATAGTTGAGAGCCAGTTTG